TACCCTTGGATATGAGTTGATATAACCCTGTGTTTTAAACTGTAACTCTCACCAGACATGTTAAAGGCAGGTAGTGTTTCTAGTGTTTCATTTCTTCTTTCACGACAACAGTTGATGTATAAGTATTGCATGGTGAACTAATGGTTAAATAAAACAGTTAACTTACCATTAGTAAAAAGCAGAAAGCTGCATGTAGGCATAACAATGGTACAAAATGTTCATTAGATATATCAGACTTGAATATCTTGAGACCAAAACAGGGACGCTATACCTTTCAAGTTAACAGAGAACTGAAACAGGGAAAATATACCTTGCAGGTTAAGGCTTCTGTTTGTAGTTAAAGACAGTTAAGTTCCTGTTTATCCTATGTTAACTACTTGCAAGTTAAAGTTTCTATTTGTAATTAGAAAGTTCCTGAATGGTACAGAGGAGGAGTGAATTTAGGGCAGGTGTGAACAGATGGGGTGGGAACAAAGTGGGTATGAACAGAGGGAGGAAGGAGAGGCTGGGGGGAGAGGGGGAACTTAGGCTGGCCAGGATGTAGAGAAAGAAAACTGAAAAGAAGGAAGGGGGAGAGGGAGGAAGGGAGGGAGGGAAGAAAGGTGATAGAGAGGGAAGGACGGAAGGAAGTAGAGAGAGAGACTGAGGAGGAACAGAATAAGAAAGAGATAAAGAAAGGTAACAGAGAGAGAGAGAGAGGGAGAGAGGGAGAGAGAAAATGTTTGTCCCATGCACATTAAGGTTTCTGTTTGTAATTAAAGAATAAATCCCTGAGCCAGGCACTGGTGGTGCACTCCTTTAATATCCCAGCACTCAGGAGGCAGAGGCAGATGGATCTCTGTGAGTTCGGAGACCAGCCTGGTCTACAAAGCTAGTTATAGGACAGGCTCAAAAAAAAAAAAAGTTCCTGTGTTGCATTTGCATTAAACAAGAATACTGTTTCTAAGATCTGATGTAAATTGCAAAATATGTTTTTCAAACTACAGCAAACTTGCTACTCCATTCCCACGAAGTACATCCTTCCCTTTCATTGTATCTAACAATGTATAACAGACAATTCTCTTGCCCCTGTATATCTTTATCTCTTCTATAAAGGGACTTCAAGAGACCAACAGTAGCTACTTTCTCAAATCCTGACTTTGGGATGGGCAGCTAGCTTGCCAGTCCCAGATGCACCCCCAAATACAACTTGCTTTAATTGGACAATCGTGGATTTGGTTTTTTTATCCTCAAGATAAAAGGTTTAACAAATTTTGAACTCTCAAAAAATGCAATCCTATTTTAGTTAACTAACATCTATGCAGTTACTGGGACAGGCATAGAGTTAAGTGCTGCAGAGATAAGAAGGGCTTGGTTCTGGCCTGAGACGCTGGTTTCAGACAGTATGGGTCTAGATTCTGCTTACATTTTAGTTGTCCAATAGAAGATTACTTATTTATGCTCTTCATGTTTACCTTCTCTAAAAAAAAGTTAATAGCCAGCCTTATTGGGTAAACATATTTTGCCATAGTGTATTCCCTACTACTCCAACAATGCAGGGACCTAGATGAAAAATTATTTTGTTGTAACATTCTGGTGTTAGAGATGTCAGTATGGAGATAGAACAGAACATAGTTGAAGTGCAACAACAACAACAACAAAAATAGAAGAGTCTAAAGTTCTGGGGACCATTCAGAAGAAAGACAATGTTAGCCAGTCAATTTAACAGTGTGAGTTGAGGATGTTGCTGATATGTATATGTAAACTATGTAACAGTCTACATTTTTCTTTGATGCTTTTAGATGCAGATTACTTTAATGGGAGGCTTGGTAATTCTGGATTCTGTGTGCAACAGGGACATATGTAATTATCAGAGCCAGAGGACAAAAAGACAATGGGTAGTTGGACTCACAAGGATACGTAGCAAGATACATGTCCTCAAGAAATTACTTTTGAAGAGCAAGAAGAATGGCATGTATGTACTAATGTCATTTGAACCCAGATAGAATGCATTTATAATTACAAAGGTTGAACAGAATTCTCAGACTTTTAGAAATTGGGATGATGATTCATATTTATACAAAAATGTGAAAGAAGTGGGCTTGGAAATGTTTCATAGATATGATGCCCTCTTCCAGCCCCCGAGGGCACTTGCATACACCTATGTGTAGAGACACAGACAACACACAGTCACACAGAGAGACAGACAGATAGACACACACACACACACACAGACACACACACACAGACACACACACACGAGGAGAAAATAGTAAAAGGTTAAAAACAGGTAAGGAATGGATAAAATAATAGCATATAAATGAGCTTGACAGCTTGAGACAATAACTGGCTGTCCTGTTGTTGAAAATTTTCCCAATAAATATCTTAGTATTTCCTCTTTTGAAGCATTTAAATTTACAACTACCACACTATAAAATGAGAAACAAGTCCTTAAGGGTGGAATTTTAAAACATATGATAAATAATCGAACAAGGAAAATGTCATCCTTCTGAGTATTTGTTGTCCATCTATCTGCTGAGATCTATTCTATACTAAGATCAAACATTACTCTGTGGTAATTGACTAAAGGTATAGTTCTGTAGGATCAAAACATGCCACAGGTATTTACACTCACACTGCTGAATAGTATTTCAAAGGATTATTCTGTTTCTCTGGACCAATTCTGTCCTGCTTATGTTGTGAGACTTCCTCCTCCTGAGGCTGACCACTAAGACCCAGCTATCAAAGCAACGAAGCCCTCCTTTGGCTCACCTAGTTAACATGCCCAATTAAAATTAAACAGCTCATTCTAATACAAGGTTTCCCTTTTTACTGTTATAAACTTCCATTTGCCTATGGGTCGTGTCTGTTTCGTCTCTGGCGGGACGCGGAGAGGAGAACATCCGGTGGAACTTGCTGGTGTTCATCTGTCTAGGATGTGAGTTATTTACCCCCGAATAAACATCTATTTGGCCTATTTGTTTATCCTGATCTTTGTTAAACCGAGATACTCTATCCCCTATCTTCATCTCTTATTCCCTTCCCTTTGTCCCTCTGGGCAAACAAATCTCCTTTGTTCTGAGAATTTGGTCTTGAGTTGACTACAAGGTTTCACACAGTTTTCTTAACCTCTGAGCCATCTCTCTGGCCCCTCTACACAGTTTTAATATGCAAGATAATAGAACATTTCTGGTAGAGAGCTATGTTCCCTTGATGATTATATTGGATAGTTTTATGTCAACTTCACATAGGCTAGTAATCAGAGAGGAGGGATCATACATTTACAAGTATATAGTTCAAGTCACAGAACTTTTCACAGCTATCTCACTGCATTTTCATAATTAGCTGCCTTAGATGGCTTGTTTTGAAAGGACGAAATCCCTTTCAGGTATAACTTTACTGATTTTGGTGAAGAAAAGCAGTCTCAAGAACAAGAACATGATTTAAAGTGGGAAGAGGAACAGAAGAAAGAAACCAAAGCAAGAATAAGGAGATTTAATGACAATCACTAAAGACTACCTTCTTGGTCACTGAAGAACACGGTGCTGCGTATTCATGCATCAGGGGCTTGTGCCACAGCTCTTACTGCAGCAAGGCCCTAATTGTTGTATACTTGAGAGCACTGAGAAGACCTACACATTAGGAAGTTGGTCCTTAAGAACTTTGATTCAACCTTTCACACATATTTTGGAAGTTTTGCAAATGCTCCCACTGGATAGACATGGTCACAGAGTATTATGACACCATTACCCTCAAGCAGAACGATACTGTCTCTTTGTTGTTAAATCTGCTTATGTATTCCTCACGTCTCCAGCATGATTCTGCATACACTTGCCACGGTGCTTAAACAATTCGTGTTTTCTATTGGTAAATATTATTCTCTGATACAAATTTTGTTGCCTCACCACTTAAGGTTTTCAGCTCAGAGTGGCCTCAGCAGAAGAGAAAGACATTCGATTTGTCAATTCATTATCTACTTCATTTGATCCTTCTGCTGGAACAGTATTAATCCTGTTCTTATTTGTGCCTCACTTTTCACTCCTTTGGTCTTCCTATTCTTCAAATTCTCCAGTATCTCAGCTATACTTTTCCTCAATGACGTAATTTTCACAGGGACTAAAGCCTGTTCTGGGAGAGAGAGAGAGAGAGAGAGAGAGAGAGAGAGAGAGAGAGAGAGAGAGAGAGAGAGAGAGAGAGAGAGCAGCCTGTACAAGAGTTAGTTCCAGGACAGCCTCCAAAGCCACAGAGAAACCCTGTGTCGATAAACAAAACAAAAAACAAACAAGAAAACAAAAAATTTGCCCTGGCGTTGGCGGCGCACGCCTTACTGGGGAGGCAGAGGCAGGAGGATCTCTGTGAGTTTGAGGCCAGCCTGGTCTACAGAGCTAGTTCCAGGACAGGCTCCAAAGCCACAGAGAAACCCTGTCTCAAAAAAAGCAAGCAAGCAAGCAAGCAAACAAACAAAACCCCCCACAAAAACAAAAACAAAAAACCCCAAACAAACATAAACAAAAAACAAACAAACAAACAAAAAAACTGCCAGGAACATACATGTAAAGCAAAGAATATTCAGGTAGAAGTGAGACCACTGTCAGTTTCACTCACCAGGTAAACTATCAGTAATTTAAATTCCCAAAGAGAAATCTTTATTCTTACAAACACAGAACCAAACGGAAACAGTGCAAAAGAAATCAGTGATAAAGCAACCTAAGAAGCTTGAGGTCAAAGGCGAACCTGTTCCTGAAGTCAGGGCGCCACCCCGTGGTGCAAACCAGCCCCACAGGCAAGCAAGCGCTGGCATCCAAACCGCCTCTTGCCGCCCCCTGCTGAGCGACGTCGCTCACTTTAGCCGGGACGTAGGAATGCCGCCTGTGGGCGCGGCCTGATGGCATCACGCCCACGCGCCGCCGGGGGCCGGAAATTAGTATCTACTTCCGCCCTCCCGTCCTTCCTGGGCTTTCCGAAGCGGAAGTAGAAGATGTCCTCCGCGAGCTTTGTACCGAGCGTGGCTCGGGGAGGGACTGGGAGCCGCTGGAGTGGTTTGTAAGCGGGTCGCGCGTCTCTGCTGTGCATAAAGCCGCCCACTGCGTAATTGCGCTGGCGGGAAGGAGAGCCTGTGGTGAGGGGTACAGTGCTTTACAGTTTAGATTCACTTGAGATAGCGAAGGAGCCCGGATTGCGTCAGAATTTGTAAGTTTAGGCACAGTGCCCACTCCTTAGGTTGTGGTGTACGTGTGGGATTAAGAAGGAAATGTATATGAAACGTTGAGTTCTGGCGGTAAAACCCATTGTGATTCCTCTACCTTTTCCCCCAGATTGCATGGAGGTGGGCGTTTGGTTGCCGTTTTCTTTTCACCCTGACTGAGAAATGTTCAATTTTGCGGGAGATAGTGCATCTCCCTCGATCTCTAGCCTCGATCTCTTTATTCTCCACCTCGCTGATGATACTTTGCCTTTTCTTTTCCAGATTGGAGCTGTGGTGGTAGAAACATCTGCTCCTTACCTTTTCTGGAGAGATCCAAAGTCTCCTGTCTTAAGACAAATACGATGTGGAGATATAGTTCTGTAAGATTTAAATGCAGTGTCAAAAGATTAGCTGGACTGCGCGATACCCCACTGCTAGTGGTTACTATTTTCTTTAACAGCCCATTAGCTGTCTATCTGTGGGACAGAAAGAAACATAAACCCTCCTCCTTAGACCTCACTCAGTCACCAAGATTTTCATGATATTTACTAAATTTAACATTACTTAAGGAAATGGTTTCTTTTCAGAGTAAAGTTGAAATAAGTTATTCGATATTTACTTTTTAAAAAGTTGCATTAGGCAATTTAGACACCTTGCCAGAGGTTACAAATTCACCCCAAAAATCTATTTTTAAAAGGGAACTTGTGTTTATGTAAAACTTTGCTGTACAACTAGGTTTTAAGAAAGTCACCCTATCTGAAAGAAGAGACAATTTAACAATGTAAGTGAAACTCAGAAGAGGGGTAGGTGTGGGTGTGTGTGTATGTGTTTGTTTGATATCAAAGTAGAAAGTACTGCTGGGGAGAAAGGGATCTAATAAGATGGGGACAGGGGAATAAGAGAATTATGGGAAAAAACAATAGGACATGTTTCTAATATAGAATTTAGATTTATATAAATTATATATCTGTATGCATGTGTGTGACATGGAAGCAAAAGAGGAACTTTGGATCAGGAGGAAGAGGACCATTGGTGTTGGTCAGTGGATAATGAGGGGGCAATATAAGCAAAATACACACATATGTATCATATATATTATATCTAATGAAGTTCGTTATTATGTCAACTAAAATAATGAAAAGGGCAAGAAATACTAAAGAGATTACCATGGGTTGGAAAGTTCAGAACAAGATTGTTTTGTTACCATTTTTGAGTGTCTCTGAGTGTACAGTTTGATGATTGTTGGGGTAAGAAAGAGGAAGAAAGTCAAGCCCTCCGTGGTGCATATCTCAAATGACATTAATCGGAGGAGAGTTTGGGGCTGCATAGGTGCTCAGTTCAGTCTTCGGCATGTTGATTTGTTTAGAAGGTATGTGCTTGAGGATAAGTTATCTGAAGAGAAACAAAAATCTACTTTGACAGATCTAACAGAAACCCTAACAGATGTTTTACCCTTTTGTTAGAAGTCTTGGCATACATTTTTAGTTTTGGTTTAGCTGTATTATAAGTTCTCTTGAATAGTCTGTTGCACATTTATCTGTTTACAAGGGTGCTAATAATCTGAAGAAAATTCACTAAAAGTAGAAATTTTCATAGGATGACAAGTATAGTTTCAGAATTATGCTGTTTTTTTCCTCTGTTTATCCTGTTGGATTATTTTGCACAGTTACGAATAAAGCTTTTAATAAAACTTGTCTGATTGTAAGCTGATAGTCTTTAGTCCTGTTCTCCAGCAGAGGTCATCCATGAATGTCTGAAAGGGGAAAAGATTGAGTCGTCCAAGTTAGATGGAACCTTCATTCTTTTGTTTGTTTTTTTCTTTTTTATGTATTTTTTTTAAATTACTTGAGAATTTTGATCATGTTCATCTCCCTCCTCTAATTCCCCAACTCCTCCTAGACCCATATTATATTCCGTAACCATTCAACTTTGTGTTCTCTCTCTCTCTCTCTCTCTCTCTCTCTCTCTCTCTCTCTCTCTCTCTCTCTCTCTCTCTCTCTCTCCCCATTGAGTTCAACTAGAGTTGCCTGTATTCCTTTGGGTATACGGCCACCATTGGAAAAAAATAAAAATAAAAGGAGGATATGACTGCTCCTAGATGTGGTAGAGAAGAAGGTTTATTGTAGATATGAGGTTGAAAAAACGAGAGGCATTTGGAAGAATTCAGGGTGGATGTGACTAGCCGACTGAGCTGGGCTATGGGGGGAGAACAGGAAAGGAGAGGGAGAGAGGAAAATCATAGTCAAAATAGCTAGATTATATAGAGGAGGGCAGCCCCACCCGTGGGCTGGAGCATTTAGGGTAGGGGTGGGGTATGCCAACCTGTAACAGGTAGGAACTGAGGATGCTGGAAGAACCTGGCCCTCACATAGGCTTTGATATGTTAAATAGGCACCTCAGTTAGCCCTTTATCCCAGATTTAAGACCAGGCAACCCTTACATTAGAAAACCAATTCTTCCTCCCTTTTGGTGTTAGGGATTGAACTTAGGTCCTCATGCATGCTAAGCATGTGCTGTTGCATTGAAATATTCCTGAACACTCTATCCACTCAACTACATAATTTTTAAGTGAGAAAAGTGCATTGAAATCAAGGAAACAGTTTGGTAAACTGAGGTAGAGATTAATGTTAGCAGTTGTTGTCCAGAGATTTTAATAAGCTAGGAATCAATGTGATCTATTTAGTGAGTACCATAAATCTAGAAAATGACACTAAAGATGGAAATTAGACAATCAAGTATTGTTTTTTTCAGGGCTACATTCAGAGTTTGAAATCAAGGTGGCCAGAAGCAAAGAAGTTTAGTGTCTGTGGTCAATCTGGCAAGTTGAAAGGCAAGATGATAGTGAAAATGCCATTTATTAGGAACAAACTGAGATGTAGAAACCAGAAAAATGAGATGGGGAAAGAACTGATTCTGGATAGTAAAACAAGCATAGTGAAGTAAAAAGAAAGTAAAAGGGCAGGGCAGTTGTGGGCAGCAGTGCTATTGTTCTGCTCCTCTTTGTATTGCAAAGTCGTAGAGCCCTGAGTTCATAGGTATCCAACAGAAGCAGTGAAGCACAGTGTGAGTGCAAAACCAGAAATGTCAAAGGAATAGGTGTTTTCTTCTAGAAAGGCCCATTGTACTTAATATTGCCATCAATTATTTAACATAATATATGTTAACATTATATGTTACTTTACACAGCATTTGAAAACCAAAACCTTTGAGCAATTTGATGATTATGGCATCAAGAAACGTCTGGAGTATAGGAAGGAACTTCCTCTTTGGTTCAAGAGATTGGATGATCCAATACTCAGCAGAAATTTTCATCAAATCAATTCCATTTAGGCCTTTTACTGTGAAATGTGACAGTCACGGAGAGCCTTTGGAGAATGAGGATCTACTGAACAACTTACTCACCATGGGAGTTGATGTTGATATGGCAAGGAGACGACAGCCTGGAGTTTTTAACAGGATGACTACAAATGAGCAGGAGCTGAAAATATTCCTTCTATCCAAAGGAGCCAGTGACAAAGTGATTGGTAATATCATATCAAGATACCCACGAGCCATAACACGCAATTCCGAAGGTCTTTCAAAACGGTGGGAGCTGTGGAGAAAGATTATGGGATCAGACATTGAAATTGTAAATATTTTGGAGCGTTCTCCTGAATCCTTTTTTCGTTCTAATAACAACCTAAACTTAGAGAATAATATAGAGTTCCTCTGCTCTGTTGGATTGACTAACAAAAGCCTCTGCCGACTGTTGACCAGTGCTCCTAGAACCTTCTCCAATAGCCTGAATTTGAATAAACAAATGGTTGAATTTTTGCAGGAGACCAGTATGTCCTTAGGTCACCATGATCCCAGAGATTTTGTAAGGAAGATACTTTCTAAAAATCCTTCCATCTTGATTCAGAGCACCAAACGGGTAAAAACTAACATTGAATTTTTACAGTCAACTTTCAACTTAAACAAAGAGGACCTGCTGCTTCTGATATGTGGCCCAGGAGCTGGAATCCTGGATCTTTCCAATGACTGTACCAAAAGAAACTATGCAAATATCCAAGAGAAGCTGTTCTCTCTTGGATGCACTGATGAGGAGGTACAAAAGTTTGTTTTAAGCTATCTGAACATGATCTTCTTGTCAGAGAAAAAGTTTAATGGTAAAATAGACTGCCTCATGGAAGAAAAAGTCCGTATTTCACAAATAATTGAAAATCCTAGAGTTTTGGATGCAAGTATAAATACTTTAAAAACTCGAATGAAAGAGTTGGTACGTGCTGGGTATGACTTGAGTTCATCAAACATTGCTCTCCTGTCCTGGAGTCAGAAAAGATATAATGCCAAATTGAAAAGATTAAATGGATAGGACAGTGTTGGAGGAGACTTAGGGAATCCTAAGTTTAATGGTACTTTCAGTTTGGACCATTCAAAATGAAAGTTTTATTTTTTTTAAATAAATATTTAATAAATGTTTAAGATTACATTCATTTATATATGTGTTTTGTGTATAAGTATAGACTTCCTGTAGGGGGGGTGTAGTGCATATATTCACATGTGTGTGCATGCCAAGGCACATGTGGAGAATGTGGCCAGATTTTAGGAGTTGGTCCTCTTTCTGCTCTGTGGGTCCCAGGAAAAAACTTGGAGGCAAAGTGTATTTACCCACTGAGCAATCTTGCTGGCCCACAAATTTGTATTTTTACCACAGACATGTGTATAGTGATTCTGTGAACACTTTATTTTATAGGTTGTACGAAATCATTCTTAGTACATTGCAGATGTAGTAAATTAAAATGTGGCTCAGAATCTTAGCACTTGGAAGGCTGAGGCAGAAGTAATGTGAATTTGAGACCAACCTTCTTTATAACCTTGAGACTATCTTAAAATATTTATGTTTAAAGTCTTAAGAGAGGGAGATGATCCTGAATTATTTGGGTGGTCATTAGGTCATTTAATTATAAGGCCATTAAAATGGAAGAAAAGAGTAAAAGATGTCAGAGGGATGCAAATGTAAGAAAGCCATGTGCAGGTCTCCAGAGGTGGCTCAGTGGTTAAAAGTGCTGGCTGCTTTTCTAGAGGTCTTGAGTTCAATTCCCAGCAACCACCATCTATAATGGAATCTGATGCCCTCTTCTGGCATGCAGGTGTACATGCAGACAGCACTCAGATTTTAAAAAAGGAAAGACTTATCTGCTGTTTTGGGCTTTTATAAAGGAAGTAGCCACAGGTAAGGAATGTAGGTGTCTTTGGCACAGTTACATCCTACTTTGAGATGGCACAAATGCGTTTTCCTGTAGGGATAGTCCTGTTGGTGTTTTGAGATTAGCCTGGGGGACCAGTATCCAGTATCCAACCTCTGTCCTAGCACCACAACAATAAAGTTGCGTTGTTTGAAAATTGTACTTGGGGGTAGCAATTGAGTAAGTGTCAAGGGTTACACAGGATTCACAAAAGTATAATATACAATCATTGGGCATTAAGGACATGGTGGGGGGTATGGATAATGACTGTCAGGCAAGATTATCCTTTCAAATAATACGGTTTGAATGCAGTTGAAGGAGAGCTGTTTTTAAGAGTTTTAAAATCAGATTAAGACATTATTTAGAGGCACAAGGACCACATATAGACAGAAACAAGACTCAGGCTCCCACAGGGAGAGCCAATTCTTAAAAACAAACAAGAACAACAAAAACAAATCGCAAAGTTTCAAAGTAATATTTTTTTGTTGTTGTTGTAAATGAAAGGAACATTCATAATTTTAGTGGGAGTGAAGGAGAGTGGGTAGGAAATTAAATACCAAGAAAGAAAAAAAAAAACCTTGATAATATTATCTTTCAGAGATAAGCCACATTTTAGTGATTCTTCTTGTTGTTTTTCTTTTTATAATATCCATGCAAGCATATAATGTGACATATAATAATTGGGTGTAGTACCTTTGAAAAGTACCTTGATAGTTGTTGGTGACATAGGAAATTAATACTATAGATGGGGGAATTACAATACTGTATTAAAACTTTGTAATGAACACAAAACATTCATGCACATAATTTGATTATTCTTTACACAACTGCATTAAGAAAAAATTTCAAATATTTATTCAATTAATAATGATATAGAAAGGATGGTATTGCACCAGTGAATCTTTTATCTCTGTACCAAATTACGCTTAGAAATTAATCAGCTGAAAGTCCTTACCAAAAATATGGTTTAAATCAGAACCAAAACTTGCATGTATTTTGCATTTTTTTTTCCTGCTCTTCTTACTTAGCTAAGCTCTGAATTTAAAAGAAAAACAAAGTGAAAACAAATGGGTAGCTTTTGGCCATATTGAAATGATCAGAAGAATTCAGAAGCAGTAACAAAATAACAAATGAGTAAGATACACATAGGGGCCTGCAGAGATTGCTCAATGGTTAGGGGCTCTTGTTGCTCTTGAGATGTAGGTTTTATTCCTAGCACTCATATCAGGCAGGTCACAAAGCCCTTTAACTTTAGCTCTAGGAGACCTGATACCCATTTCTGGCCTCGCTGGGCACCTGTATGCATGTGGAGCACATACACACATTAAATAAAAGATACAAATGACTTGATTATGATATTCTATTGGCAATTGTTTCCTCCTTTTATTAAAATTAATTGTGTCACAAGTCAGTGTTACACCAGATTCTTGAGAATGTGGCATAAGCAGAGGAATGACCTTGAAGAGCCTCAATGCAGGGAAATGTTGGACTTCACAACAACTGTCTCTAAACCATGAGATAGCCAATCAGACTTAGGACCTTGTACTTCCTGGGACTGTAGACTTAGCAAAGAACCAATGGCTGGGGAACTCATAAGCCCTAGTGGATAGATGATGTTAAACAGTTCTTTGAATATACACCTATGACCACAGATTAGTGCCCAGCTTAATCTCAGCTATCATTAAAGAAACTTCTTTATGCAATGGATAGTGGTTAATGCAGAAATTCACAGCTAGTTAAAGTTCAGGGAATAAATATCTGTATAGTGCTCAGCCATTAATGGGACATCTGTAACATACAGCTTCCCCTCCAACTCAGAATTTTGAAGATTTCAAGAGGCAGAGGTTGGGGAAGACTAGGTTTAACAGTATATTCTGGACATGAAAATACCATTGAACCCATGAATACACATCAATTGTGTTTGACTGCATAAGACCTGACCAGATAAGCCAGTTAGCATTCTAGTTTAGAGGGCAAAGGGTGCTCAAATATACTCATCCCTTGCCGAGAGGTCATTGGCAGTTGATGGCTGCTAGTGAAGGGAGAGTTAGCTGCTCTCTCTCTTTCATGGATGTGACCTCGGGTAGGTAGACCATGCTTCTGTGGATGGCTCCACACTGGTGTATATATGGGCATCACAAATTGGTCTCGATGTACTATTTTTTAAAAACACCATAAAATTGAGAAAGGGATTGGAGGAGTGAGGGGACTGGACCTAGGAGGAGTGAGGGGAAGGGGAAGGAGTGTTAGGTGAACATAATCAAAACATATGCATGTATGATGTGCTTTTAAAAATGAGGTATTTTTCAAAACCATTACAGTAGAAAGGAATTTGTTCTCTGATAAGACATAATCGTTGCTCAAATCTTTGAACAATACAAAGATAAAATTACAGCTAATCATGAAATTGAAAGGTCCTTTTATTCTTAGTTCATAAAAAATTTGTTTATTTTATTTAAATTAGGAATGATTAGGTGAATGATAACTTTAGAGAAAACCTTTATTTGTATATTTTTCTTATTTTACATATTGATCCCTGTGCCCTCTCCGTCCCTCTCTCCCTCACTCTCTTCCCATGCCCCCCACCCCCTCTCATCCCATTTCCCCCACACACACACACATACTCCACATGTAGGGTGATGCATTCCTGGAGGGGTCATCTTAATTGGTCAAGTCATTTGGAGTAGTGACTAGGCCCTCCCTCCTGCCTCTAGTTTAAGGGAGTATCCCTCCATAGAGAACATGCTTCCAAAGTCCTTTTGTGCATCAGGGATACATCCTGGTTCCACTATCAGAGGTCCCTAAGACTGCCCAGGTCTTCTAACTGAGACCCATATTCAGGGGGTCTGAGTTGGTCCAGTATTGGATTCCCAGCTATCACTCTGGGAACCCATTAGCTCCTCCTTATTCAGGTCAGCTGTCTCTGTGGGTTTATGTAGCCTGGTCTTGTCCTTCCTCTCTGCATTTGGATTCCAGTTTGGTCCAGTGTTTGGTTGTGGGTGTCTGCTTCTGTTTCCATCAGCTACTAGATGATGACTCAATGATAGTGGATAAGTTAGTCATCAATCTCATTATCAGGGAAGGGCATTTATAGTAGCCTTTCCACTGTTGCTCAAATTGTTAGTTGGGGTCAGTCTTATAGATGTCTGGACATTTCTCTAGAGTCAGTTTTCTCTTCAAACCTATAATGGCTCCCTCTATTATGACATCTCTCTCTCTCTCTCTCTCTCTCTCTCTCTCTCTCTCTCACACACACACACACACACACACACATCTCTTCCTCCCCTGTCTCAATCTTCCTAGTCCCACATGATTTCCTTTCCTCCCCTTCTCTTTCTCCTAGTTCCCTCTCCACTCAGTGCCCACACCCCACCCCTCAATCCCAATATGCTCAGGAGATCTTCTTCCTTTCCCCTTCTGTGAGGGACCTTGTATGAATTTCTTAGAATCTTCTTTGTATCCTAGTTTTTTAGAAAACCTTTTAAAACCGTCCCTTTCAATCCTTTAATGAATGGCATCAATGGATTTTTTTTATTTATTTTATATAAAAAAGTCCAATTAAATGAAAACAAACATACACAATATTTGGGAATTTGGGCGTCGGTCTTTCCAAACTACTTCCTGCTGGTAAGGGGTGCTGTCATGGGGGATTCTAAGAAGATGCAGAAATCCTGGCTGTAGTCTGTAAGGCTGCTTTGTCCAGCTGTTTTGAATGTAGGATCACCTGGTACTCTGTTTCAAGCGGTCTGGCGTGATCAAACCATATTAGTCTGGAAGGAATCCACATCTTTTCATTTTCTGTGGAAACAAAAATAGACATCCGTTTCTCCAGTAACTTGTCCTTCAATTTAAATTTTGGAGTCAAAGCATTTTTTTTTAATTTAATTTATCATTTTACATGTCGATCCCAGTTCCCTCTCCTCCCTCCCTCCTCCCCTCCCTCCCTACTTCTCTCCCTCCTTCCCTCCCTTTTACCCTCTCTGCCCTCTCATATGCACTCTAACCACCCTCCCCTCCATCCCCCCAACACAATTCCATATGTAGGGGAATGCCATCCAGTTGGGGTCATGTAGATCTGACAGGCATGTGAAGTAGGGACTAGGGCTTCTCTCCTGTCTCTAGATTAAGGCAGTTATCCCTCCATATGGGATGTGTTCGCAAAGTCCTTTTGTGCACCAGGGATACATCCTGGCTCCACTGTCTCAGGTCCCTTAGACTGCTCAGTCTTTCTGGCTGAGACCCA